TAGGTCTTCCAACGACTCCAAGATGTCAGTCTCCATGAGGTCACACTCCATGCTACTGTGGTATTCAAATTTCCGAGTCGTCAGGCAGTCCTCTCGCCGGCAACGCGTACCCCCCGCGCATGCGCCCCTTGCCCGGAACCTCCAAGTCGGCAGCTGGCGCCTCAGTCGCCGCACTGCGCAGGCCCCGAGCGTGCGCAAGCGGTTGGGTTTCGCCCCCGCCCCGCCTCCCCCCGCGGCAATGGCCCGGCGTGCGCGTGCGCACTGGGGGACACTGAAGCTGGCTGCCCACGAAGGGCAGGAAGACTGGCGGCGTGGCAGCTGGGCTCCCGGACCCAGCCTGGGGGCGGGGGGGGCGCGGAGCTTTTTGGAATGCGCATGTGCACAGCTTTGGGCGGGGCGGGCGCGGGCGCGGGAGGAGCTTGAGGCCGGTCGAGCCCGGGGGTTTTAGGGCGTGAGCTGTGGAGTTGTGGCTGCTGGACCTCTCGTCGCCAGCGTGTCACCATGGAAGAAGGGCAAGTTTGTGTGGCCTAGGGCAGGGAAGACGTGTGGAGAACAATGAACGCCAGATAAATGCTTCCTGTTTTTTTTCAGAGAAGCCTCGGTGTTTCAGGGATAGAGAGGTCTTGGCCCCTCTTGGTACGGATGCATCAGAAAGTTGTCGAAAAGTTTTTCCTCTCTGTCCTTTTGAGCCTGCTCCAAACACCGAGCATTCTACTTTAACGGGAAAGGGACCTAACTCCATATCAACTATAATAGGGTGTATCTGATTACACGCAGTTTAGATCAACTTTTTGTCTGCTTTGACCTTCCCCCTCTCTCTTCCCCTCCCCACTCTTAGTTACCTTTGTAAAAATACAGGGGCTTAATATTGTGGCCCTGAGCCCATTATGTAGACCAGGCTGGCTGTGAACTCACCGAGATCCACCTGCCTTTGCCTTACCTGTGCTAAAGCGTATGCCACCGTGCTCAGTTTTGTCCTTGCTTCTGGTCATAGACGATTGGGTGTAGCTTTCAGTTATGATCGAGTGCTTAAGAGCTGTTGAAAAATGAGAAAAACTTTTTCGAGGTGATGGCATAGTCAGAAAATTGTATTTATCCATAAAGCGGTATGCTGTTATATTGTGTAGTCGTTTAGTTTTAAAATTGTTCCCGGATTTTATTTTATGGTTTCCATTCTTTTGCATCTATGGATAAACATTCTCTGTCCTTAGTAATACGCTTTTTAAGTTATTATTTTTTTTAATCTGGGTTGGGAGAAGGTTATGCTCCTACTGTATACTAGTTATTACCCTCTTCACCCATGTGTGATCTGGTTTCGCCAAGAAAGCCATACCAAAGTTAAATGTTCTTCAAGGTGTACTGGTTGATTCTCACTCCCTGACTATGAAGTTGCAAATTCCAGAGCCAAGGTTCAATAGGATTGTGTTTAGTTCCCTTAAGAGCCTGCTGACTGCCGGGCGGCGGTGGTGCACACTTTAAATCCCAGCACTGGGGAGGCACAAGCAGGCAGATCTCTGTGAGTTCGAGGCCAGCCTGGTCTACAAGAGCAAGTTCCAGGATAGACTCCAAAGCTGCACAGAGAAACCCTGTCTCAAAAACCAGAAAAATAGCCTAGTCACTGCTCAACTCTGACTTAACCTCATTTTGATTACGGGGTAAAGCTGTGGGAAGATAAGCTTCTGCTAACCCAGAGCTAAGATACGTCATCAGATGACATCCAAGACTATAACATCCAAGACTATAGCTGTTTTCTCCACACTACTGTAAACTTCTCACCTGCTGTCCCCACTAATATATTTGGGGAAAAATCCCTTGATTTGTGACGTTGTGTTATGTAACTACAAAAAAATGATAGGACCCCTTTCCATCTTGGAACATGCTATTTAGGGCAATCTGAATCTGTGCCTGGGCCATGGCCGCTCATATTTAGCTCAAGAAAAAAAAAACTATTTTGCCCCATTTGGGATAAGAATTATGTTTTTGCACCAACATTTAATGGTACAGGCTCATCATGCTGTATAAACATTGTTTGGATTTTATAGATGATGAGCACACTGACTCTCGTGTATTAATGATCCATAGCACTTATAAGTTGTAACTGCATTTTAAAACTGGAGCATATTTCCATCCATATTCTTATTTGACTGTTCAGACAAAAATTTAAGCAAAATGTGAAAAGATAAGGAAACATATATATACATATACATGCATATATATTGTATATAATTGTAGTAAAATGAGTCTTTTCCATGGAAATGTTGAAGGTGATAAAAAATAGTAACAATAAAAATCATTTTTTGCTAGGCTGTGGTGGTACACACCTTTAATCTCAACACTTGGGAGGCAGAGGCAAGCAGATCTCTGTGGGTTCCAGGACAGTCTGGGCTGTTATACAGAGAAACCCTGTCTTGGAAAAAAAAGAGAAAAATCACTTTTTAGTAAAAATGGTTTATTTATTCTTAACTCAACTTCTCTTCCCTAGCTATGCTACTCAAGACTGACATTTGGTTTTTAATAAAATCAGGCAAGCAAAGCAAAGGTTATCATCAGAAACAAAATGCATGTCTGAGGTTTTTGTTTTTTGTTTATTTTGGTTTTTCGAGACAGGGTTTCTCTGTGGCTTTGGAGGCTGTCCTGGAACTAGCTCTTGTAGACCAGGCTGGCCTCGAACTCACAGAGATCCGCCTGCCTCTGCCTCCCAAGTGCTGGGATTAAAGGCGTGCGCCACCAACTCCCGGCATGTCTGAGTTTTTTTAACTTTTGTAATTTGATGAATTGTTCATGAAACAGTCTGTAGTCTGGTTTTTATAAATACCTTCATGTAGACATGACTAGCCTGCATTATTAACTGTGAATTTTGTAGTATGTTATTGTATGTTACAGGATAGCTGAAGAGTATTACATCTCCCCCAGTTTCTCCAAACAGACTTTTGATACTGTGGTAGAACTTGCGTGGCTCTTTCCAGGGTCACAAGCCCTTTGGTTTGCAGGTGGAACCCACATATCTCTTTGTGCTTGCAGATTCTTCGGGCGATGTACTCTGTGTCAGGACTTCTGCTAGTTTTAGAGTAGCTCAATCTGTATAAATGCCAAGACTTTGTACCTGGGACCTTCACCAACCCAACGAGGACTCACAGAGCCCCGCAGTGGACAGTAGACTGAAGTTCCCACTGGCGTTCAGACAGCTGATGGTTCTGCCAGCCAGGGACCACGACAAAGCACATGTGCACCACTGCTTCCTCTGCAGCGCCGGGGTGTGCTCACATGTGTACCAGGGTATCTGATCACACTGTGAACCCCGAGATTACGCTGTTTACTGGAAAAACCTGTTTCCGGTCGTGGCATTTTCCAGCCCCACGACACCCTTTTAAAAGATTAAATAAAACCAACCAGTGATCGAGAGGCAGCTCAAGTAACCAGTTGACAGGGGAAAAAAAAAGCCATAGAGTGGGAGGAAGTCGGGAAGATGGATAGAGAGACACATAGGAAGTAGTAGGGAGGGACTTTGAGTTTGGTGGTCCTTTTCGGTTTGGGAAGGTGGAAGAGAAGCTCTCTATGTTGGAAGGCATTGAAGGAGGAAGCAGCTGTGGTGAAGGAAGAAGAAGCTACATGCTCTCTCTCTCTCTCTCTCTCTCTGACTCTCTGAGCTAGCAGGTTTTCACCCCAACATCTGGCTCCCGGGTCTTTATTGGTAAAATAGAACAATAGAAACTTAAGAATAAATTTGGTGGCAGTGACAGAGGTGGCCATGATTTTTATAGGGCTTCCAGGGTAGGGATTGGTAGAAGTCCCACCAGGCCTCGGCCTGAGCAGCGGGCAGCAGGAGATTCAGGTGCAGCTGCTGTACCCCTGGTGGAACAACACATATCGTCTCGTACACGCATGAAAATTAAAGGTGCACTTGTGCCTCACTAATACACTAGTAAAATTCACACCTAATACATAAGCGAGGGCAGCCATGTCTAGACTTGAGATTGCTTCACAAACACTGCCAGCTTGTGAAAGTTAAATTGAAATAAACTGGAAGACTGTAAGTGATAATGAACCTAGTTTCTTGCTTTACCTGATGGCTGCTACCAAGCACAGCTATACTTTTGTGCAAATTGTTTCCTCAGGCTGGAGTTGTCTTCTGTCTTCAGTGTCTGGAAGATTCTTCTTGGAAGCATTTCGGGCTGGATGGGGATGGAACAAGAGTGGGTCAGGTATTCTGGCACTCGGGAGCCACAGAATACTGAGTGTTACACAGCTCAGGTGGAAAGGTATCCTGGAGCTCTGGAGCCAAGGATACTGAGTGTTACACAGCTCAGGTAGAAAGGTATCCTGGAGCTCGGGAGCCAATGACCACCACAGGTTGCAGTAAGCTTAGCAGCTTACAGCCTTGCCTCAGGGAAAGGCTTCTCAGTAGGACAGGGTCTTCTAGCTGGGGTTGTTCGCCCAGTGTAGCAGTTTTGCTTTCTCTGGCGAAGTTGCTACAGTTAGGCTCTGCTCCTGGAGAGCGGAGAGCTGGAAGTGTGTAACAACTCTGCTCTGCCAAAGGAAGGATGTCTCGGGCAAGTGTTACAGCCCTGCTCGCTCTGCTCTGCCCTGCCCAGGGTCGCCTCTGCTCCGTCACCACCGCAAAAGAAGATCTTCACCCAAAGCTCATTGAAGAGAAGAGAAAGCTTCTCACCAAAGCTTTTATTGGAAGGAAGAATCTAGGAGAGTGGCTGCCCTCTTCCAGAGTGGCAGAAGACAGCCTGGTAGCGCGAACAGCCACAAGCTGAACAGACACAGGATTTATATAGGGCTTCAAGGGTGGGGATTGGTCAGATTTTAGTGCTGAGCTCAGATTGGCTGGAGCTCTGCTCAGGGATTGGTTAGTTTTCTGTACAGGATTAGGGTCAGATTTGGCTCTGGTTTCAGGGCCAAAATGTGTTTCTTTCTCTGGTCCTTTTTAGCCTTTTGGTTCCAATTTTAGGGCCAGGGTGCATTTCTTTCACTGACTCAGATTCCAGGGACAAAGTGTGTTCCTTTGGCACTGGTTTCAGGGTCAGGGTACATTTCTTTAGTTCTGGTTACAGGGCCAAAGCATGTTTCTTTGGCTCTGCTAAGGGTGAGTTTCTTTGACTGGTCCCTTTTCCCTACACTTCTTGCTCAGCCTTCAGGACACAGTTTAGGAGGTGACCTCTTTGGTTGTCTCCCCAAAGTTCACTCAGCATGTCGGCACAGGCTGCTTCAGTGTACTCTCTGTTGATGTTCCTGTTGCCCAGCTCTGCTCTCTGCTGCCCAGCTCTCTTCTCTGTTGCCAAGGCTGCATACAAGGCCGATGCCCCACACAGGAGGAGAAGTCTCTGTACAGGTTAAGATGACATTTCCTCTCACTTGGATTTTTAAGGTGATGGTATGCAACTCAACTGATTTCTCATAAACGTCTAAGAAACTTCAATGTGGATGCCAGGGCCACAACACTCATGATAGGTTTTTCAATCTGCATTCCTTGAAGCCACCTCAGGCGACTCCGTGACTAATGCTTCATAATGTATCATTGATTTGTGTTTTATTTTTATATTGCTTGCATCGAATGTTTTAATCACTTTTCTCCTGTGCTAAACATACATGCCATACATCTTGCCTATTACAATGAAGTGCACACAAAATGCATCAATAGCATTGATTGTTAGTTGACAAAAAAGTCTTTCCCTTCCTCATAACTAGATTTTTTTTTCTCCTGAAAGAATAAAGTGAGTCTTTGCAGAGGAAAAAAAGTAAGTATACAGCAATGCATTATGTTTTGGGCACTTGGATTATTCTGTAAGTCAGTCATGTTTATTTAAAACTTGGCTATTCTGGTAGGATGAATAATGCTTTTGCTGACTGACTGCTATTAACAGCTTTGTCCTGTGATGGTTTATGGCTCTGTGGGTTTTGTGTCCTCAAGGGACTGCCCCCTGTTCTGCAATCCACAACTAGACACCAGGAAAGTCCAAGCAGTGGGGTGGAGATGTTACTGATATGGAATGTACTAGGAAGAGAAGGTAATTAAAGTAAAATAAAGCTTTTACATCCCAGTTCTGGGGAAAGCTTGAATTTGTGATTGGATAGATAAGCTTGCTAATTTTGAATGTCCTCAGCACATCTTAGTTCCAATTCTTAGAATTAATTATATTTTATTTCTCATTATTATCCAAGTAGGATCATTGTTTACAAACACAATAAAGATAAGGTGAAAACATATTTTAAGCAAGAACCAATTATATTTGAGAGTTGCTGTATTATTACAAAAAATCTGGGTTAAGTCACATAAATTTAGCTTTGAAGAGAAATTGGAAGGTTATTGTAGATGAACCCTTCTCAAGCAATTTTGAGACAGAAATGTAGACTTCTACTCTAGGGTATTTGTTGTATTGATAATGGACATTTTTCTTCTGTGTCCTTTAGAATATCATCTCTCTGCTTGGAAGAAACCAGAGTCAGAAACTATGTTCTCCAGGATCCAGTCCTGCTGTGACTGACACAGGTTAAATTTTTCATTGTCCTGAGGTTTCCAAACTTTGGTGTATGTCTGAGTTGCTAGGGGCTTTGAAAAACACAGATCTGCTGTGGAATATTCTTTTACACTTTGTGAATATATGTCACTGTGATTGGTTAAATAAAGAAGCTGACTGGCCAATAACTGAACAGAATATGGTTAGACAGGAAAGCCAGACGAGGAGAATGCTGGGAGGAAGGATGGAGTTACCAGTAAGACTCAGAGGAATCAGGAGATGAGTACATCATGCTAACAAAGGTACCGCCATGTGTCAGAGCATAAATAAGGAATATGGGTTAACTTAAAATGTAAGTGATAGTAATAAACCTGAGCTATTGACCGAGCATGGCCTACATAAATTGCTCTCTTCTCACTGTCCAGGTTCTGGCTCAGTAGATCTGGATCGAAGACTACACAAAGTTACATCTCTAATGACTCCCCAATCTCTAGTAATAGCTGGTGCTTTGGTCTGACAACTATAATTTGAAACCATGGAGTCACAGAGGAACAAGATTATGCGATCCATTTTTGGACAGGTAGAAATATTTTTTTCTAGGATCTGTCAAATGAAAAACTGGATAAAAGAATGGAATTGAGTGGAGAGGGCCAAGGTGGAGATGTGCATGCGGGTACTTCCTCCATATAGGACTTGAAATTGGGATGTGAAAGGTATCATGGGAAGAGAGAAAACAGGAAGGGAATGAGGGCTGGTGAGATGAGTTAGTGTGCAGAGGTGCTTACTGTCAAGCTGGATGATCTGAGTTTCGTCTCCTGGACCCACATGGTAGAAGAGAGAAATGACTCCCCCAAATGGTTCTCTGACCTCCACACACAGGTCATGCCACATACTGTTGTTAGCAGTTTCCTCCCCAGTTAAAACATTCAATCCTGCAAGGATCCTCCTTAAGATAGGAAGTAGACAACTCAAAATAGCTTCAGGAAGTCCCTGGAACTGGTCAGATTCACTAGGCTCCTCCCTCCACAAGAGTATATAAAAACTACTGATAGTCCCTCTCAGACAAGCCGAGCTGAAGAGAAGACTGAGGGAACCGCTGCCTGGAAGAAGCTCTGGCCAGCCAACTAGAAGAAACACAGACCAGCCGTGCTGCCTGGGAAAGGCTCAGACTGACTGAGCCACCCAAAAGGGACACTTTCTGACCCGTTGAGCTGCCTTCAGCTGTGCTGTGTGCTCTGGGTTTCCAGATTTTGTGAGCTGACTCTCATTCTGGGGTGGGCTTTAGTGATGCAGTTGTCTTTGGGTCATTTCTGCTCCTGTGAGTGACCCCTCACCCATATTCCTTTAAGTCACCCCAGTAAAGCTCATTGGTTCACCAAGTTGGATTTGGGGGTATCTGTACTTTGGTGTCTTGTGGGATCCCTGTCTGGGGTGAGTATACAACATATACACATAGACACACAGATGAATGAGTGCAACATTAAAGACAGGAAAAGAACACTTCAGTACATTTTCGTGTATGTGGTGACAGGAATGGTGGGACCACAAAGGGAACAATGAAGGGAGAGACACAGGAGGCAATGAGAAGAGAGTTGCAGTAGGAAAGCTACCAATCTAAATTTGTAGGGTGTGTCATAGGAGATAGAAGGGACAGGTAGGGAAGTTTTCATATTCTATATCATAAAGGGCACTCTTGTATTCAAAACTGTAAAAAGGAATCTGTGTATACAAGTTATTAAGAGTTTAATGTGTCTGTGGGGGATCTCTTTCCCTCTTGGCCTGTCAGCCACCAGGTTGAGAGGGCAAAAGGCAGGAGCAGTGACAGAAAGCTTTGTATGTGGCCCAAGAGCACCAATGGAGACAGCTTTCTGGAGACACAGACTTCAGTGAATCAGCTCAACTGTACTCCAGAGTATAAGGAATATATAGGATTGGGGAGCCTGGGACAAACCCTGATTTTCATTAAGTGGAACGCTGCTGTCATAAGACTCCCAGCACAAGCCTTAGTTATTGTGTGTGCAGCAAGGGAGTCTTCAAGCAGGGATCTATGTCAAGTTTCAAGCTAAAGATAGATTAGGCATCTGCTTTAGAGACAGCTTTCAGGTAAGGTCAGCCCTCCAGGCCCAGATAACAGCAGGTAGAAGCAGGAAGTTCTGCTGGACGAAGGGAGTCTCCTGTTGCTGAGCTGTTGAGATAAGCTGCCAGGTCATGTGGAGATCGACCTCTGTCAATCAGCAAAAGTCTTCCAACACATGTCCACATTGCTAATGATTTGCTCTTGGTTAGCCACCTGGACAGAAGTAACTTAAAGGAGAAAAAGGTTATTCTGATTCACAATTCCAGGATATGGTCCATCATGATGGGATGTCATAGCAGCAGGACCCCAAGGGAGCTGGTCACATTGTGTCCACAGAGGCAGGGAATGGAGCATGATGAAAATGCTCAGACCATTCTCTTCATCTTACACAGTCCAGGATCCCATTGCAAGGAATGCACCACCCATGGTGGGTAGATCTTCCACCTCTATTAACCCAATCAATATAAGCCCCTGCAGTCATGGCCTCTGGCCTACCTCCCAGGCGATTTTAGAGTTCATGGAGTCAACACTTGGGAGTAATTATCTTGGGGGAGTACAGGGTTGGGGCCCACAGATGCTAAGACTCAGTGTTTCAAGAGTGCCTAATCTACTACTCACTGATTAGTGGATACCAGACATAAAGCAAAAGGTACTCAGCCTGCAATCCACAACCCCAGAAGCTAGAACCCTCTTCCAGAAACAGGGAAGCAGAGCAGAAATCCACAACTAACCATTGGACCAAGCTCCTGGACAACGTGAGCGAGGAGCAATAATATGAACAAAGGAGTCAAGACCATGAAGAGGAAACCCACAGAATCAGCTGACCCAAGCTAGTGAGAGATCAGTGACTCGGTCTGACAAGTGGGGAACCTGTATAAGACTTAACTAGTAGACTCGTCTTATTATAGGTGACAATGGTGTGGTTGGGACAATATATGAGGCCACTGGTAGTGGGTCCAAGATCTAACGCTAATGCACAACTCACTTAGTGGAGCCCATTCTAAATGGAGAGATACCTTGCCCAGCCTAGACACAGGGGTGTGGGGGCGGGGCGGTGCCTTGGTCCTGCCTCAATGAGATGATGGGACAGACTTAGTAGACTTCGCAGGGGAGGCCTTACCCTCTCTGAGGAGCAGATGGGAGGTGGCAGGGAGTGGGAGGAGTGAGGGGGGGGGGACTGGGATTGGAATGTAAAAAATAAATTAATAAAAAAATTAAGGGAAGAAAAAAAATAGTGTCTGAGTGCAAATACCCACAGAGTGAAGAATAGCGCTAGCAGGGATAATGAGAGAAGGGCAGACATCACAAGCCCCAGAATGTGGCTTTCGGTGCAGACAGGCGAGGCTGAGCCCTGGGGTGATCGGGTGTCTTTGTCCTTGGCTTGGTTTCCCTGTGTTATCTGATGGCTAGAGGTGAGATGGAAGACAGTTTTCTAGTCCTCTGCCTTCTCAGATTTCCCGGTTCTCACCATCAAGAGCAGCTTAAGGATCCAGCTCTTGTCTCTGCTCATTGACCTCCTCAGTGCAGTTAGGGTTAGCTAGTGTTCCAGTCACAATGGGGTGGAGACATTTTAAAATGCCCAATCAAATGGATTACACAGTCATCGATAAACTTATGAAGAGCTATTTTGGCATAACAGGGCAAGCAAGAGTAACATCAGAACTCATTATGGTGCATACAAGGCAGAAAGTAAGACTGAGGATGCTGCTGCTACATGTGTGTGTGTGTGTGTGTGTGCATGTGTGTATGTGTGTGCATGTGTGTATGTGTGTGTATTTGTGTATGTGTGTGCATGTGTGTATGTGTGTGTATGCGTGTATGTGTGTGTGTGTGTGTGTGTGTGTGTGTGGTGTGGTGTGGTGTGTAAGGATTCAAGCATTATGGTGGCCTGCACCTGTCACCTGGCAGAATGCACTCAGGCAGTACCCTGGTCAGCCCAGGTGCAAAGGACCCCTTTAAAAGAAAGACCCTGCCCACTTACACTCTCTTGCCACCACCCCCTTTCCTGCAGTTCCCCTGGGGCAGACAGGACTTTTCCCATCTCCCTTTTCTCTTCTGTCCTCTCTGTCTTTGTGTCTCTTCATTCCTTCCCCCTTCCCTCTTTCCTTCCCCCTTCCCTCCCCCTTCTAATGAAACTTCTCACTTAAGCTCTGTCTGCTGGCATGTTTGTCCCTGCCTCAGTCACCCTTGCCTGCCATGGGATCTGCCAGGGTTCCCATGTATATTATCATAACATGGAATGTGTAGGTGTGTGTATGGTGTGTGTTTATGTGTGTGTATGGTGTGTGTGGTGTGTGTGTATGGTATGTGTGGTGTGTGTGTGTGTGTGTGTGTGTGTGTGGTGTTCATGCATGCACATGAGCATACAACAGCACAAGTTTAGAGGTAAGAAAACACCCTCTGATGTTGATGTGCCTTCCTTCTTGTTTTTGATGGGCTCTCTTCCTCACTGCTGCATACACCAGGCTAGCTGATCCAGGAACTCTGGAGAATTTCTTGTTTCAGATCTCCTAATGGGAGTGCCGGGATCAATCACACATGTCTGTACTATCATGTCCAGGTTTATATGGGTTCTGGGGATTTAAACTCAGATCTTCATGCTTACCTTGCTTGTTAAGTTCTTTACCCACTATGTTATCTCTTTACAGACGTTTGATTCTGATGAGGCAAAGGCAAGAATAAGAGGTGTATTGCTAAATGAGTACATGCATTCCAAGATCCGAGAGATTCCATTTATTTTACTTTTTGTAACTGGAGCATGTTTATAAGCTAGTAAATGGGACCTGACAGTGGGGGAGTTCATACAAGCATCGAGAAGAGAGAAGTCAATATTTCTAAGTGTTTTGAGGGAAGGAATCTAAAGTCTTAGTATGTGGATGAAGATTGGAGACTGGCAGAGTCTCCAGTCTGTGTTATGGAGCTGCAAAGCAGGTATAAAAACAGTCCTTGTAATAACACGGGAGAAATATCACATAATCTGATGGTACTTGCTGTAAGCACCCTTGTGAGAAACAGAATATTAGAAACCAATGTGAGTTGCCATTAGCTGCTTTTGCAAGGTATTATTAGAAAGACATTAACTCAGAGAAGCAACTGCTATGTGTGTAAGCAGACAGGCAAAGCAGAGAATGTCTGAGTACGCCTAGGGGATTGGAAAAATGGGGTGTGAGTTGGGGATTGGAAAAATGGGGGTGTAAGTAGGGGATTGGAAAAATGGGGGTGTCAGTTGTCATCCCTGCTAAGTCCCTCAACCCTACTCTTCTCTAGGGGCCCAGCTGCTATGCTCAGACACGTGCATATTTCCTGAGGCTAGGCAAGGATTCCCAGAACTTTTCACCTACCTGCAACATATGCATTCTCCTTAGAAGTACCATTCTTTAGTACAAGCGTGTACTTCACTGAAAAAAGGTTCACCTCTCATCTGTGATCCTTATAGCCTGTCCCTTAAAAATGTTTTGTGCTGCTAGGCAGTGGTGGCGCACACCTTTAATCCCAGCACTTGGGAGGCAGAAGCAGGTGGATCTCTGTGAGTTCGAGGCCAGCTTGGTATACAGAGCGAGTTCCAAGACAGGCTCCAAAGCTACACAGAAACCTTGTCCCATCTAGTCAGTTGAGGCACTCACTCTCATTAACTGGGCAAACTGGAGAGTGTTTGAAATCTTAGCTACCAGGGGACTGACAAATAAGGATGTAGATTTGAAGTGAGTCTGGGAAACACAATAATTAATGTCCTCATTTGTGAAAGCAATAGGAAAAACCCAGGAACTGGTTAATCAATGTGTTTTACAACATTTAATAAAAACCCATTCTATAGTACCAAATTTAATGCATATCTAAGGCCGAGGCATTCTGATGTTCCTTCACTAGTGGATCAAACAAGAGATAAATTTTAAATTAGGAAGTTGTATTTAGTGTTTAGCAAAAAGATATTCAGGATTGCACATGTTGGGTAGTGGCAAAATGTGTGTCCTGCATACACAAAACCCTGGATTCCATCTCAGCACATTAAAAATAAATAGTTCCAATAACATGGTGTCTGAGTTGCTCCAGGATCCTCTTATCAACCAATCTCAAGTTATAACAATCTGAAAATTCTCAAGATCTGCTTGAATTGTCTTGGCTTGAATTTATGGAGTTGCATTGAAAACTTAACTGTTACAAAGATTCACATATACACCTCTTTTCTGTTTTTTGCTTGCAAAGATATAAAGAAAACAGAAAAGGATCTCCTAAATGCAATGGTTCACCAGAGGGAAAATTATATGTTATTGTTTGGTGAGAGCCATTATCATTGCCTGCCTT